CGTCGCCGTCGAACCAAAATTGCGGGGGGTCAATGACGCGATCCGAAGGCGTCAGACGGGCCAAGAGAGCCTTAAGACGGCCCGAGAAGCCCCCGATACGACCCAAGAAGGCTCCAAGAGGCCCTCCAAAGTCAAAATCGCAGATTGCCCATTAGTTTTTCTGGCGGTGTTCGCGTTCCCACATTCTCCGGCCTCCGACAACCCAAGACGGCTACAGAAATCCTCACGAAGACCCTAAGACGGCCCGAGAGGCCTGCATGACGGGCCGAAGCGCCTCGAGAGGGCCCTACGACAGCGCGGAAGGGGCCACGAGGACGCTACCCGAAAGCGTCAGACGGGCCAAGAGGAGCCCTGAGACGCCCCAAGAGACCCTCACAACAGTCCCCACGAGGCCCCAGAGGCCCTGCAGGATGCTCCCTAGGGGCTGTTCAGAGGCCCTCAAAGGCCGAGTGAACGAGCTCACGTGCAAGACCCACTCGATTTCATAGAGTACAATACAGCAGCCGCGCATCCGAGTGAACGCGCAAGCAAAACAAACGAACAGCCAAACGCCGTGTAGAGCGGTGACAGGCGAGAGAGAGCACGGCCAAACGCGGGCGCCACGTTGAAGATGATAGATGACGACGAGATTGGATTAAATCAGCCTTCCCACCACGCGGTACGCTGAATGCGCCCATCGCTGTCGTGGACGGCCCCTGCGTTTCTGGAAAGCCCATTGCTTAGGCGTGTCATCGGGATCGCATACCATTTGTCTCACTAATGAACCTGCGTCGTAGGAAACGATCTTCCGGCATAGCTGGATCTGCCGATCGCGCAGGATAGTCGTCAACGCTTTCATGCACGATTGCTCCAGAACTGCGGTGTTAGATACCCGTGATATGTACGAACATGGAACATTCAATAACTGTCTGAGACATTCGCATTGGAAAACATCAATCCTTGCTCTGTCAGATTCCAAAAGCCATGGGGAATCGAATGAATATAAGAGCTTGCTGACGATACAAGCGGAAAATAACTGCACTTTCCTGCGCGACGCTATAGAAGTGCGCGCCCAGATTTTGCTCAAATCGCGAAAGACGGCGCCCGATTATCCCAGCCATCGAGATAATTCACTCCCGGCGCGACCGTCGCAGGAAATCAAGCCTCCCAGGCGCACTGCTTCTCTCGCTGTTTTGACCGGATTTCCATTCGGCTGCCGCACCACGGCGCTGTCTTGTCCCAGTTCAATTCCAAGCCGTACTTCTGCCCCTCTCAAATAATTGCGTCAAGTATCCATTGTAATTTCCCCGGGTGTTTGGGAAGCAGCAGCGAGCGCACAGGATGCCCCTTGTCTCGACATACGCGGGTTCTTCCAGGAGAGGCAGGTTGTCGAATACGTCGTGCAACATTACTAATTGAACGGCAATGAAAAGATATGGTGATAAAGGGCAGCCTTACGCAATTCCTGCAAACTGTCTACGTTCCATCGATCGCCCGCTTTGATCAACTCTAGCGAAGTACCTCTCAGAATAAATACCTCGTATCATCTGCACCATGGGAGATGGCAGCCCAAATCTTTCCAACGCTTTACAGAGACAGTTTGGCTGTAATCGATCAAATGCTTTTGCCCTGTCCAATAGAAGTAATACAATGCCATCGTTCTTACTTGAATGTGCTGCGTCTGTAATTCGTCAAATCAGCATCAGTGCGTCCACCGCGCCGCGCCCAGAGCGGAAGCCAAATTGTGATGACCGCACTATTCGCTCTGACCCTCCTTGTATAAGACGGCGGTGCATCATCAAAGCCAAAGTTTTGCACCCCACTGGCAACAGAGAGATCGGTCTATAATTGCTTGGGAAAGTTGCGTCGCCTTTTTTTGAATAACAGAACAACGCTGGCTCTCCCCCATTTCGTTGGGATGTTTTTCGTTCCCCAACATGGTTTACATACGTGTAGTAGTGTTGCGCATGTTTCGTCGCTGTTGGCCAAAATGTTCCAAAAATTTGGCGGCATATCATCGGGCCCGGCCGCCGTCCCCTTCTTCATGTTTCGCAATGCGTCCCGCAAGTCTCGCAAAGAGAAATTCGATGTGTCGACGGGGAGCGCGCCTCCCAGCTTCGTCGTTGCCTCAAGGGCCACATCTGGAAAACGTACTTTCTGAAACTGGAATGCAATATTCGCCGTGGTCAGGAAATGGTGGCTGTTAAGGGCCGCTCTTCGATGAGATGTGCAATCCAATACCCATGGCAAAAACTGACGACTTGCATAAGATATGATCGATTTGCGAAAACCGTTCAGGACAGATGGGGTCCATCGGAGCCACTCCGAAGCCCCTGTACGTACGTGGTACGCTCGTCCTCCGGTACATTGAAGAATGTGTTCGCGATCGCCATGTCGTTGCCGTGGCAGCATTCCAGCAGAAGATGGCGAGTGGAGACCTCTGTAGCGGTGCGTTTCGCAAACTTCCCATTGTAGATCTACTTTCCAATGATAGGTTCTTCGCCCCTATTCTGGGTCAACAACCTAGCATTGAAATCCCCAAAAATCATGGGAGTGCTATGAGGCATTGTCGGCCGGATGCACGCGTCCAGAAGGGAAAAGAAGTCGCGCCTAACGTGTTCACGATGTCCACTGTGTGGCGCGTAAGCGGTGATAAGGGTAAGCATCCCGCCAACAATTCTTACTCTCAGGGAGGCGAGTCTCGGGGAAGAGGCATGGAACGGAACTGCTGATGTTTCGGCCCATGATGCAACTATGAATCCAAACCCGGCATCTGAACGTTTATCTGCATCAAGTTCCCCTGACAAGCACATCAGAAAACCATCTTCATGCTTGTAATCATATGTTCAATGTAATTGTGTCTCTTGTATGCATCTGATATCGATGTTCTGCTTTCGCATTTTGCCGAATATCTCTGTGAACTTGATCTGCGAATCACCCCTCAGACCTTCCACGTTCCAGGAGCCCAGACTAATCGTCGAGGTCGGCAGGCACGCTGTGCGAGGCCTGCCCCATGAAGTTCGCGGTTGTGAAGGCCTGCCCCGTCGATTTCATACCGCGCGCTGAATTGCAAGAGGTCTGTAATTCAACCTCCTTCACGCTGCATTGCTGCGCCGGCGCGGTGGCGGGGCTTGCCGCAGGCAGCTGGGATCGCCGCCCCCTGTCGATTCATCGCAGGGGTGCCTGGCGTGCTGGATCCTTTCGGTTTGGGTTTTGGTTCGTTGTCAAAAAGAACTCCCCCTGGAGCTCCGGCGCGTCCCGCCGGGAAAATCCCCAATCCGGAAAAAAATCATCCAAGACAGCTCAAGATGGCCTCCAAGATGGCCACGTTGGCCCAAGATAGCCTCCAAGATGGTCCAAGATGGCCTCCAACTCCGCCCAAGATGGTCCAAGACGGCCTCCAAGACGGCCCAAGAGAGTCCAAGACGGCCCAAGACGGCCCAAGAGGCCCCCCAGAGGCCTCCAACACGGCCCAAGAGGCCTCCAAGAGGTCCTCCAGGAGGGCCCGAAGAGGCCAAAATCATTGATTTTCCTTCGAGTTTTGAAGGATTCTGGCATTCGCTTCTTTTCTGCCTTCCGACGGCTCAAGACGGCCCAAGAGGCCCCCAAGATCGCCCCAAGATCGCCCACGAGGCTTCCAAGAGAGCCCCATGACGGTCCAAGAGACCCCCAAGACGGCCCCAGGAGGGCCCCAAGACGGCCCAAGAGACCTCCAGGACGCCCAAGATGGCCTCCAAGACGGCCCCGAAGCGCCCCAAGAGGATCCCAAGTCGGTTCAGAGA